GGTGTCTCTCTTGGGCGATGGCCCAATGGTATACCATCCTAAAAATAGCAATGGTTATTACCTTATGAACAAGAGCTCAGACACGACCGACAAGCGTTTCAGACAGACAGCCTCACCAGGACAGCCACATTTGGAAAAACAAGTTTATTTTCCAATAACGAACCCTACGAGCAAACAAACCTTCTGACGTCCTCCCTTGCCCACCCTTTTTTTAGTTACAGCCTTGTCTTTCTATCATTTAGACGGCTATATTTCTTTATTTCAAGAAAAGGAAGGAAATAATTCCAATATTAGTCATTATGATGTATTTATTTCTAAATGTAAATGAAAAATACTCTAACAATTATCGGCAGGACAGTTTATTCTCCTGAATTTCATTCATTGGGTGTGTACATCTTCTACACTAGTCTGAAAGAAACAAAATAAACTGCTGTAATGAATGTAACGATTTTACTCTCATTTCAGCCTTCATAGCGCCACCTATTATAAAAAATATACATATATTTACCAATCTAATCAGCTTTAACATTTGACCAACTTTCCATTCACAAAAAACTCAGCTGTACAGGCTTTCCTTCCACAGAAATTAGTCCTGGAAAACAAACAGATTCTGTTTATAACAGAAACAGAGACAAGTATGGGTCGCTCTGCAAGATGGTTTATACTCTGTAAATGTCATTCCGATGTCAAGTGCTTTGAAGTATGAGACTAGGGGTCGCTCTGCCGGTACTGAGCAGGTTTCTCCCAATCTTTACAATTTTAAGTTATTACGAACTTAACGTATTTATACCTTGACTGCAATACTCGCCTTTATTGTATCACACCTTCACAATGACAAATTGATGATGGTTTAAATTTCATTCCGATGTCAGTACTTTGAAAGTTGATCTGATACCAAACTTCAATCCCCAACCATCACCAAGGGTATGAATGGGCTGAGCAAGGGTCACAGAATTGTGAATTAAACAGGGAGGGGCAAAGACGGACTAGCCTTAATTCCAGGAGAAGGTGGTGTCGACACCTGTGTTTTACTCGACGCTAATACCTTTCGTATAAAATAGACATCAACTTACTTGCATTTCGCATCTGGGTGAGCTTTACAAGTGGCTTTATCACAAGGGTTGGTTCTACACATTGCCATTGGTTCCCATGGTTTACACATGGCGTCCGTCACTGCAATATATATAGACATAAATAACTAAGTATTTACGACCCGTGCCGCTAAACAAAACCTGAAATCCCAAAACTACATAATGGTGAAACAACATGCGTAACAGCTAATGAACTTTTTATATGAGGAAGTATACCTACCATTTTATACCCCATATTGACCGTTTCATTGGAATCATTTAGAGCCTGGCCACGTATTCTCGAAACGATGTTAGTGCTAGGACATCCTAGAATCAATGTTAGAAGATAAGAACCTAGGACATCCTAGCGCTAAGATCATTTCGAGAATACGTGTGCTGGATTCATTAGCGTTCAAGGGGAGGATGTAAAGTTATGAAGATGTGATACCAACATTGTTGTAGGGCCCTAAAATTTGTATTAAGGTTTTGGTAGAACGCTGAAAACATCTCCAACACATACTCCCTCCCAAAAATATCATGCAACTAAATGATAGCTACTATCAAAACTTTTGATGGGAAACAGGAATGTTTTACTTCCCAAGTCTGTGGCCAATTGGCAGAACCATGACAACGATATGTAGAGGGTCACAAAAATGAGGTACAAATCGATCGTGACTTACCACTTACCATAATCCGTCTAAAAATTAATAAAATATAATACATGTATACTCACCAACAAAAACTGCAGCTAAAATCATTAAAACTTTCAACATTGTATCAAACTGTATTACAGAATATAATTAATTCAAATATATGAATAAGTTAAATCATTTCACCACATGTTGATTTTATAGTCAAAAGTCGCTAGCATCAATCGGTATGGTTTAGAGCTAACATTGTGGACTTCTGGGATGACTGGATCAGGAATATGCCTGACATATAAAGACGACAGTGATGACGTCAACGATATCGCCATGACACCATTGTTGTGGGATATTAGAGAGTTGGCATTATTTTCAGTTTCATGTTTTGAAGCAATATGGACACAAAGAGAGATGCGAAAATAATCCTTATAACATTTTTGATGCAGAGAAATATATGCACTATTTTCTTTTGCGGAATGCGTTGACCGAACAAAAAGGCTCACTAGATCGTAGTAGTTGAGGCCAGTCAGTCTCGTACAAAACATTGCGGGTTGTATAAATGTTAACTAACCAATTATCAATGTAAATGTCATTTAGACTGTTTTTTAATGTCCGGTGATATTCAATTTAGTCCCGCGGTTAATTTGTGTAATCCCGCACCAAATTATTATCATACGAAATCAAACATATGTAGCTCTATTTATCCATTATGGTGTTTCGTTATCAGTTTGATTTCAAAGATAACACATCTCCGATTCCACTTCCTCAACCCAGCCCATTTTGTAGGATGGTGTTTTACGTCGTCAGATATTTGACCAATGAAATCAAGTATAACGTCACTCTTTATTCATCTTCATTATAGACAAGTTATTACGTCTTCATCTTATACCTTGACTGCAATGACCCACTTTCTTGTTTCAAGGAAGGCTGTAAATGAAGCAAGTAAATTTTATGTCTTATTGTTCGGTACCGTATAAAAATATAGAGGTGAAATGTTACATTGTTATTTGTGGTGTAAGATGTTGTTCAAAATCTCATTTCATTTTCATCAAGTTAAGTTAAAATAAAACGTATATATAAAAAGTTATGAAAGGAAGGTCGATGTAAGTTATAATTATATCAGTCAATTATATAATGATGTGATTTTAGTATAGGATGACAATTGACAATATAAATAGAATTGGTAACCATTAGATAGTTTTAGTACATAGACGTCATTTCATTCTTCGTATATTAACTCCATGTACGCCATAAGTTTAGTAACCACAACGTCATTAACCTTGTTAGCCCAACCTCGGTTTCTTAGTTACCACAACGTCATTAACCTTGTTAGCCCAACCTCGGTTTCTTAGTTACCACAACGTCATTAAGCTTGTTACCCAACCTCGGTTTCTTAGTTACCACAACGTCATTAAGCTTGTTACCACAACCTCGGTTTCTTAGTTAGCCATTAACCTGGTTACCTCGGCGTTATTTATCTGATTACCTTAACGTCATTAGCCTAGTTAATGCAACGTCAATTACCTGGTAACCCCAACCTCATTTTCTTGGTTACTTCGACGTTATTTGACTCGTTAACCTGACGTCATTAGCCTGGTAACCGTGTCGTTATTATATTCCAATCCTGTAAACCCTAAAATGGTTACAGAGGTGTAAATTGACAATCATCTATCAGGTTATTATCATATTAACGACAATCATAGAGTCGGATATCAGATAAACAGCTGGAATTATAAAATAATTAGATAGATCAATCTGGCTACATAGTCAGAATATCTAGCACTAATATTATCCTCAGTTACCCTGCACAGAATCAGTACACGAGTTCACTCTGAGTCATGATTGTATACCAGACCACTGTCACTTTCCTTGAGTCACTCTGCTTTTAGGATTGTGAACATCACAAGACCCTTTAAGCAGGTCTGTGTGCTTGTTGTTTTTCTTTTCGTTCCAGGATAGGTTACGAATGTTTTTGAAGCCAATTAAAATTTTAATATTGTAATAATTGTTTTATTGTTTTAGTTTATAGATTGTATAAAATAGGTCTAAATTGTTGGAATAGATTAATAATCGACTTCCAGCCGAGACAGACACAGCACAACCCACAGCATCACAAAAACACTGAACGAGGACTTAAATGGTAAGTTGGTATTCTAGCATGTTATTGGAGGATCAGTGAGTTCGCTACTTGCTCGCTAACCTGAAGGTTGGGCGTTCGATCCAAACATAGGTCTGGTCCAGACGATACTTACAGAGAATCCGATTTCCCTCTGACAGACGGATGGACTTAAATAGCTATTTCTCATTAGAAAATGGGGGTAACCTTTCCGATATTGGACTCAGGGTAGATGATCAAAGCAGTGGCTCATCTAGATGAGTGGGGCCATGGACATATGTGGCTTGGGGCCCCTTCCCCCGGAATTTTTTTTAAACATATGCTCTCCTGCATTTTTTCGGGGGTTGAGCCCCTTAGGTGCTTGAGGCTCGTGGACTTGGTTCAACCATTTCCTTGGATGCTTGGGCCACTGGATTCAAGTAAACTAATTAACTGACCAGGAACAATGTAATAATGTTAACGAGTTAGGTTATATCACAGAGAGATTAGTAACTTAGTATCTTAGTCATGTCAACTCAGATATTTACTACATATTTACCTTTTCTAACCAGTTTCTTGTGTTCGTCAACAAGTTTGATATATCGCCATCTTAAAGGATACAACCAATTCATTTTATGGGTTGTATTTCGTGCTTTTGTCAGTCTTATGGTCAGCCATCATCATAATAGTCAAGGTATTACGTCTTCTTATACCTTGACTATAATGGCTCACTTTCTTGTCTCACGTTTTTCAATGCAGCAATTCGATTGGATTGTAGTGAATACAGCCAATCTGAGCCCTCGACAGAAGACGCATGAAATCGGGGGTTCTGATTGGCTGTTTTGGCGGTAAAATCCAATCAAATCACTGACTGTGAAACAAGAAAGTGGGCCACTGCAGTCAAGGTATAAGATGAAGACGTAATACCTTAACCATTTTGATCCTCAGTTGGCAAACCTTATGTTGCCTCAACAGGGGGGTGTCAGTGAGGTAGTTCGGAGGGGCTGACATTGAAAGACGTCCAGTCGTTCGAATTATACGCAGTGCGGGTCAACAAAGCAGGTTTAAACTAAGACGTAGTTGTTCCTTTAATATTTACTTTGAAGAACTGGCGTAAATCAAGTTGGGTAACAAAATAAATAGATGATATCTTTTCTAAAAACATGATAAACTTTTATACCACATTAAAACATTAGCGTCTGAAGGATTATATCAGCTTTTAGTAAAACTGTAAGTTTTATAACTTTTATAACTATTCTCTGGAATAGTTCTTAAACACTTCTTGAATATTACAACTTATACTTTTATATTGCTATTATAAATATAATATATATAATCAGTAATTATTACATAGCAATAGGTTGTCATGGTTAATTATAACCAACAAAAACAAGTTTAAAGCAGGTACTCTTACAAAGGCTTTCTCAATCTCGAAGTAATTAGAACACGGTCCGGTCAGATAGCCCTGAATTCGTCAGTGGTAGACAAACTTTCAAAGAAACAAAACATCTGATTGGTCGAATTATTTTTCAGGATTAACAAACAATAATACATTTCAGATGATGAAGATGACTATTTTGACTGTTGTTATGGCGATGGTTCTGGTAACCATGGCTACCGGAAGTGCTATTAATAACCAAGTGGTAGGTGAATGTCAGGGAGAGAATGGCTGTCCACTGGTACCCGATGCTATCTGCAGGTAGGTTAAGTGATATTCCAAGTCTTATACTTCGCACTGAGAGTCTTTGTAATTGGGAATATTGCAACTCTTCAATTCTGTAGAGCAAGTTCTTATACTTTTTACAAAAGCTTCACATCCAGGCCACGTATTCTCGAAACGATCTTAGCGCTAGGATGTCCTAGAATCAATATTAGAAGATAAGCAACTATAGGACATCCTAGAATCAATGTTAGAAGATAAGAACCTAGGACATCCTAGCTCAAAGATCGTTTCGAGAATACGTGGCCAGTATTGTAAAGGTCCATTCTTACCCCTGCTAGTTTACGATCACTAACGCCAATTTTTATTACACCAATTTCAGATTCGAGTGCTTCACCTACAACGGACAAAAGGAATGTTCCAACAATTGGTATAAAGATAATGTACGAGTTGGGTGTCACGCTGTTTGATTGGTTAAAAACATTTCACTTCCTTTAATGGTTTTTAATTCAAAATTAACGTCATATAAAATTTGATTTTCAAATAATAAAGAATTATTGAGCATTAGAATGTATTTATTTTCATAGATTAGAAGAGGAATCTTCATTTGGTTGAAGGGTAAGTCGAAAAGTGACTTGGAGTGGAATGTAGTCGACAAACGGTCTACCGTGAAGGTGCTCCTCCACATGTATTCGGCAATCCTTAGCCTTTACCGTAACGTTGAATATGTTGCAGAGCGCTAGATGAACTTTCACGCTAAACCGTTTGCTGCACGTGTTGATACAGCTTTACGGAAACTATCGAGAATTGCCGAATGCTCTTTAGGTTTAAAATGGGTCTTGATTTTCAAAAGGACTCGCATAGCAATTAAACCAGAGCGAAAAATATATTTAAAATGTTTAATTTAATCGGATTTTTAATGATGCTCGCGTGGCATCTTCACCATTATCATTTTTCATTTAACCATACTTGTAGTTAGAGCGATACAGATTGACACTTCTACGAGGAGAAGAAGAAGGCATTATTTTGTCTTATTTCGTCCTTATTTTGTCTTATTTTGTCCTTATTTTGTCTGATTTCGTCCTTATTTTGTCTTGTGGAAGAGGACATTATCTTGTCTAGTGGAAGAGAACATTATCTTGTCTTGTGGAAGAGGACATTATCTTGTCTTGTGGAAGAGGACATTATCTTGTCTAGTGGAAGAGGACATTATCTTGTCTAGTGGAAGAGGACATTATCTTGTCTAGTGGAAGAGGACATTATCTTGTCTAGTGGAAGAGGACATTATCTTGTCTTGTGGAAGAGAACATTATCTTGTCTAGTGGAAGAGGACATTATCTTGTCTTGTTGAAGAGGACATTATCTTGTCTAGAGGAAGAGGACATTATCTTGTCTAGTGGAAGAGGACATTATCTTGTCTAGTGGAAGAGGACATTATCTTGTCTTGTTGAAGAGGTAAGGGTTTTTAAATTGTCTAAATAACTTTTATAGGAATATAGTTTTCTAATTATTTTTTATCAAATAAAGTCCTGATTTTATTGTCGAAGCACGGATTGAGTAATCATTCCACGCCCGTGCAGAAGCTCTTCATAAGATCTTTTCGCAGCATCACGTATCTGGTATTACGACTGGCGTTGCACTGTCTGATTTCTTACAACCTCACTTGAGTCATGGTTGTGGTGGTAACTTTAAACGGAAGTATTCGGTTTCTTCTCGACAGTGAATGCTGGTCGTAAAGCGTCTTTAGTCGTTGATAAGGGATGGGAAAAGCGTCGTTCAGTCAAAAACCAAGACCCCGTGTGATTTCCTATAACCGTAGTTCTGATTTTATTGCAGAACCACCACCATGCTGCGCTATCTTACCAAAGCAGAACTTGATGCCCAGTTCGTGTTGTCCATCATAGCTATTCTGGGAAACCTATTGGTAATGGTTGGAGTTTCAATAAAAACTAGCATCACCAAAACGTATTTCACCTATCTCCGAGGTTTGTTAGTGGTCGATTGTGTCTATTTCCTAAGTATGATTATTCACTGGAGTTTTAAAAATGAATTGCCTAACTTGTGTCATTTTGTAAAATGGGCTCAAGTCACACCAGTGGCTGGTTCGGTTTGGTTGATTGTGGTCATGATAGCAGACAAAATGTATCGAAACGGCAGGAAGAATGGAAGCAACGCTGTGATTTTCGCCCGCGCAACGTCAATATTTGTTCTTGTAATTGCCGTAATCATTACACTCGTCACGCCATGTTCGGTTTCGCAAGTGGCACAGCGAAGCTTGTCCAAGACAACCGAGTCGACTAAACAATCTACTGATTACGAAGCTTACTTCAGAGAAAACGAAAAGTTGGGACACTGCAGCGCACTTCATACAGTAAGAAAATATTTGTATCTTCTAGAATTTCAATATGCAGTACGACAATACATTATCCAACGAAAGAATTTTCTGGACGAAGTCAAATACAATCAAATTTACGATAAAATGTATCAGAACACTAATCTATGCTCTAAAACGTTAAAATCATCAGCCAGGTCGAACCATCAATCATTTTACCAGATGTCAAATACACGCACGTATTTTTGGAATACTCTGTTAATTTCGGTCCTACCTTCTTCTACCGAGATGTCGCTTCGTGATTGCTGGGATGAACATTACCACAGCAAATTTTCTGTTTGTCGCCTGAACGAAGAAAGTGTCAATGCTTACACTGAACCTTACGTAGTTCGTAACCAATTAACACTCGACACGTTTAGATACTTCATTCAGCTATTTCAAGATCGCAATTCCACTTTTAACGAGATGATTTGGAAGTACACCTATTATGGCCACACATACCAGATTTGTGTTGACTGTTTGTTTGAGATACTAAAAAGAGTCATACTGCATTATCCAGGCGAGGGCTTAGACGGTATTCGGGAAAGTCTGCAGATTGTGCAGATGGGGCTACGGAACTTTCCACAAGAGGAGGAAGTCACCATGGTTCCAGGATTCCAGTCAGACTCCACATCGTCTTTTGAAGTTTCTACAAAGCGAGCTGAACATACTACTTACGTGATGATTGGTGAAACCAGGACATCTTCCTTAATCCAAGGTATAGTGAATGGCATCATACCGTCACTAATGATCATTATCCTTGTGGTTGTTGACATCCTCAAGACTAACAGCCAAACAAAGAGCAACAAAAAATCTGTCAATGTTCCAGAACAGGGAACTGAACAGTCTAACCAATTAAGGCATAGAAAGACTGAACCCTCAAAGCATTCCAATACCGAAGACGGACCGACATTCATACCTTTACATCGCTTGAACATCTGCCCACCACTTAATTTCGAAGCGTCCACAAGCTTTATGCCAATAGCGCCCTCCGCCCCAACAGTTGAGCCCGAAACGGTTTTCGAACCCGATTCTAGATACACAAGCTTACCCTTCACGACACCCCAAAACTGTGAAAATCCTGTTGAAGAAGCTCCAAGTATGATTTTCGAACCGAACCCAGAATACGTTTCGTACCCAGTCATTGCGACTGAGAAACCACAACTAGTAAGTAGCGTTGGGGCCACAATGACATCAAACTTTGATGATCCGCCACGATATTGTGACATTGAACCCATTGGCATTTTTAACATTGAGGGTGAACTGAATCAGAAGAAAGACCACCCACAACATTCTATGGACCAATCTACAGTAACACCAGACCGTGATCTAAGCATAAACCTTAACGATTCATTTGATCAAAGATGTACCCAGTCCTACAGAAACATGGTCGGTAACCATATTGCCACTACTATGAACGGGAAAAGCCAGACGGTGACCAAATCCAATGTGTCCAACCCCAAATGTCCAATGTGGACCGCTATCCGAATTATGAGTGTGCTTCGAGGTCTGTTATTGCTGATGAAATCGGCTGTTGACCTGGTAACGATCTGGAATCCTATGGAATCTGAACCAGAGTTGACCTTCCGCCGCGTCATCTTCTGGAGTTTCCATATCGTTCTTTTCATGACTTGTGCCATTTTTTTGAAATTTTCGAAATCCTTCTGGATTAACTTAAAAGCTTCAATGTCGAAAATTTTGAAATGAGGTCTGAAGTTTAATTTGTTAATTTGGACTTGATTGTTGTGGCGTCTTTATCCATGAAAAGTGAATGGCTTACAAGTGCGTGTTTGATTCTGTATTGTCGCCTATCTTTTCACTAATTCTGTATCAAATTATCATCAAATCATATAAAATTTGATGGTTTTTTTTCACCATGCAGCTATCCAAAGCGTCATGTTTTGTGTCGTTTTATCAAGTTTCTATTTTTGCGTCAAAGTAGACGTTCTGAAACATTGTTACGACGTAATCAATGAGGTTTTATACAATTTACCATGGCATAATCAATCAAGTTGTTATAATTGACCTTGAAATAATCAATGAGGTTTATACAATTTACCGTGAAGTAATCGATGTGGTTTTTACAATTTACCGTGAAGTAATCAATGAGGTTTATACAATTTACCGTGAAGTAATCAATGAGGTTTATACAATTTACCGTGAAGTAATCGATGTGGTTTTTACAATTTACCGTGAAGTAATCAATGAGGTTTATACAATTTACCATGAAGTAATCAATGAGGTTTTATACAATTTACCATGAAGTAATCAATGAGGTTTATACAATTTACCATGAAGTAATCAATGAGGTTTATACAATTTACCATGAAGTAATCAATGAGGTTTATACAATTTACCGTGAAGTAATCAATGAGGTTTATACAATTTACTGTGAAGTAATCAATGAGGTTTTATACAATTTACCGTGAAGTAATCAATGTGGTTTTTACAATTTACCATGAAGTAATCAATGAGGTTTATACAATTTACCGTGAAGTAATCAATGAGGTTTATACAATTTACCGTGAAGTAATCGATGTGGTTTTTACAATTTACCGTGAAGTAATCAATGAGGTTTATACAATTTACCGTGAAGTAATCAATGAGGTTTATACAATTTACCATGAAGTAATCAATGAGGTTTTATACAATTTACCATGAAGTAATCAATGAGGTTTATACAATTTACCATGAAGTAATCAATGAGGTTTATACAATTTACCATGAAGTAATCAATGAGGTTTATACAATTTACCGTGAAGTAATCAATGAGGTTTATACAATTTACTGTGAAGTAATCAATGAGGTTTTATACAATTTACCGTGAAGTAATCGATGTGGTTTTTACAATTTACCATGAAGTAATCAATGAGGTTTATACAATTTACCGTGAAGTAATCAATGAGGTTTATACAATTTACCGTGAAGTAATCAATGAGGTTTTGTACAATTTACCGTGAAGTAATCAATGAGGTTTATACAATTTACCGTGAAGTAATCAATGAGGTTTTTACAATTTACCGTGAAGTAATCAATGTGGTTTTTACAATTTACCGTGAAGTAATCAATGAGGTTTATACAATTTACCGTGAAGTAATCAATGAGGTTTATACAATTTACCGTGAAGTAATCGATGAGGTTTATATAATTTACCGTGAAGTAATCAATGAGGTTTATAAAATCAGCTATTGTTATTATATGTTGTGTTTAATTCCACCTCATGCGAGAAACAAATATTCATTAACCCAATAAGACCAAACAGGTAGGTTGGATATCGCCATTTTATTTCGTTTTATAGGGAAAAATGTACATTTCGTATTGTCATTGTAATGATTGTTGCTTATCAAAAAAAAAAATCTTATGAAATTCGTTTCCAAACCACTGATCTTACGTTGTTAAAGGGATCGTAAAGAGGTTTTCAAGCCTTTGTGAATATATCTGAGAACACTTATAACTTCTCGTCCCAGGTATTTGGTCTGTTTTCACGTTTTCCAAAAATATGAAATCATAATTCCTCAATTACATATTTGCAGTGGCGTTTCTAAAAATCATTCGTGAAGGGGTTGAGTAAGAGTCAAAGAATTGCCATTGGACAATTGCTCTCTATATTCAATGATAAGAAATTTGAAAGTGGGTGAGTGGGCACGGGGGGTGGCAAAGCCCTCCCCATACAGACCCCCCCATACAACCGCCACTGTATATTTGTTGATACTCGCAATGAAGAGTTGACCAATCTGGTGACTAGAATACTCAAAATCATCTCCAGAAATAAGGCTAGACTATCTGACCAGGTCATGACGATACTGTAACCATCCCATACACCATCCTCGTTCTCTCCGTATAAATTCTATAAAGGCCAGACGGTCATTTTGATTCCCTTTAAAGATATAAAGATTAAAGATATTAATCCGGTAACAGAAGAGATTAATAGGCCTACTCTTTGTTATGATTAGCTTAGTTACGTATTATTCAACCGTGGAGATATTTACAGGGCGATAGAAACCACAGTGTTTTAAACTTAACACCGCGCAACTATATAGCTGGTTGAATAATCAAAACTAAAAGAATTCAAATCACATAGCAGACAAGCTTATGACTGAGCTATCTTAATCTCCTAGCACTCTACAAGATTGAGCTAGCCCACTGCCCTAACATTCGACAAGATTGAGCTATCCCACTGCCCTAACATTCGACAAGATTGAGCTATCCCACTGCCCTAACACTCGACAAGATTGAGCTATCCCATTTCCCTAACATTCGACAAGATTGAGCTATCCCACTGCCCTAACACTCGACAAGATTGAGCTATCCCACTGCCCTAACACTCGACAAGATTGAGCTATCCGACTTCCCTAGCACTCGACAAGATTGAGCTATACTACTGCCTTAACACTCGACAAGATTGAGCTATCCTACTGCTCTAACACTACAAGATTGAGCTATCCCACTGCCCTAACACTCGACAAGATTGAGCTATCCGACTTCATTAGCACTCGACAAGATTGAGCTATACTACTGCCTTAACACTCGACAAGATTGAGCTATCCTACTGCCCTAACACTACAAGATTGAGCTATCCCACTGCCCTAACACTCGACAAGATTGAGCTATCCGACTTCATTAGCACTCGACAAGATTGAGCTATACTACTGCCTTAACACTCGACAAGATTGAGCTATCCTACTGCCCTAACACTCGACAAGATTGAGTTATCCTACTGTTCTAACACTTGACAAGATTGAGCTATCCTACTGTTCTAACACTCGTCAAGATTGAGCTATCCTACTGTTCTAACACTCGACAAGATTGAGCTATCCTACTGTTCTAACACTCGACAAGATTGAGCTATCTTACTGTTCTAACACTTGACAAGATTGAGCTATCCTACTGTTCTAACACTCGACAAGATTGAGCTATCCTACTGTTCTAACACTTGACAAGATTGAGCTATCCTACTGTTCTAACACTCGACAAGATTGAGCTATCTTACTGTTCTAACACTTGACAAAATTGAGCTATCCCATTGTCTTAGCACTCAACAAAATTGAGCTATCCCTATGCGGAAACTCGACGAGAGTAAGTTTTCCTTGACAAACAAATGGTATTGGTTTACTCCGGACTGGCTCGCGATTAGGGTTGTATACAGAATGGGGCAAACATGATTCAAAAGAAGTACAACTTTCATACCCTCTACCAGCCTGATTCTATTTCACACTCACTGCATTCTGACATACCAGCCACACGTGTGTACATGTCGTACAAACAACAGACAGACAATATTTGTCAATTTGTGAATTGTATTGAACTTTTTTACCACTGAGTACGAATAACTTAAATCTTATCAAGACTGGATCAAAATTGGAGTATGATACGTTGTATTTTTTTAACTGTTCGTTAGCCGCGATTGTTTTCCATCTGACTGTGTAAATGATATACGAAGATTGAAAATCGTATGAAATTGGAATATAGATATTTTATACCTGCTCATTTGTGACGGTTGTTAGCTCATTATTTGTTTAATGACAAATGTTATAGGTCTATAATGAGGAGGGGATCGCGTCACAAATCAAGTGAGTTCATTTTTAATTTTAAGTATTGGTTCATTAAGGGTTGGAGTTGATTTACAGTTACGTTGTTAGTCCGAGGCCTTTAGGCTGATGTTGATGCCCTGACGTCTGTGGAAAAATTTACCCCATTTCTCACTGCATAGCGTTTTCCTGTCTTCATTAGCTCTATCATGTACAGAAACAAATCCCTTATTGTCTGTCTTATTTACATTTCTGACTTGGGTGATCGGTCTTAAAGTGCCTTGGACTCGGATTCCAATCTCTCTGTAAGTTGAAAAATTGAAGATGCCACGGCTACTGCTTTTAAGACTCGACCCGGTGTCGATTGAGTAGGTGTCGTGGGTTGGAATCTCTTTCATGGAAAGACTATTGACTAATTAGCCTACTTGGAAGTATGGAACCACACAATATTTCTTCCTATAGGGAGAAAGACCCACAGCACTTTATCGCCTCGCAGACGACAATCTATCTTGTTATTGATTGAACTATTCCACCGACATTGTAAAAGGCAAAATAAAAAACGGGAGCAATTAGCCTATGGACAATAGAATAATTAATTGTTGTCTGATAATAATAATTGTATTATGTCCCCTTGAATAAACTATCAATTGTTAACCTGAGAGAATTCATAATAAAGAGATTATACCTAACAGACCTCCAGTTTATAACAGACACCTGTCAAATTACTTTACGACTCCTTTATAATACCTCGGACATTATCTATACCGTCAACAAAACATATCAGTCAAAACGCTAATCCATGTTTGATTGACAGTGGACAAATCAAAACAGCAGGTCGACAATAGTCGGCATATCATACAATGTCTACCTACAAAACAAGAGCTCCGCAAAAATGATTACTGAGGCGGATATGGCTAGATCTGCACTGCATGCTGAATCTTATGGCACGCTTGTATTAGGTGCTCCTCTGCACAACTTACTTTGGTTGGTGGTACTAGGAAGGCAGGCCATGCCCACCCTTAGGGACATTTGTAATAGGTGTCCCACTACACTACTTAACGCGGTGGGTGTCGTTAGTTAGGCAGGTGTTGCCCACTCTTCTTGAATACTTGTATAAGGAGTCTCTACTGTTGTTTCTCGGGCCTCTGTGGTTGCAAGTGTTAGTTGAAAGTAAGGGCATGTTCTCCCTTCTTTTTTACAATTGGTAGACCATAGAACACAATACGACTGGTTAGGAGTTTAACTGTTATAATTACTGTGACGAGTTGTCGATGGTAGGGCAGGGCATGTTCACTTATCTGAGACACCTGAAAGGGTGTTTGTACTATCAAGGAACATCTGACGCAACGGCGACTGTGCGAATGGGTTTATATTCATCCATAAGCTACGACAGTTACATATTATTTCAATTATTGGTATTTTCTATTTTCAGATTGCAATGCCAGTTATACTATGTCCTGTTGCTGACAGAAGGCAGAATGAATCTGAAGAATAAACTTCGTTCCTGCAATTCTAAGGTGAGCTTTGTCGTCTGTAAGATTCTGAAACTACTATTCTACAAACGATACTTGTTAATATGGGGTACCATATTTCCCACAAATGAAACAATCTCGTCCAACCTTTACTCGTCTTATTGACACAATGACAGTTTACTATGGTCAGAATCTCAATTACAGATTTCTCATGAAGTCATGTGATTTTCAAACAGGCCAATTAATATGCTTCTACATACGGTTTGTTTTATAAATATGAACACAAGCAAAAAACTCGTGAATACGGTTAACCCTTAAATATATTGTTAATGTTTTAAATCAGGTGACATATATATGACCTTTTATTTGGTAACTTTTGATCTACATGATAAGGTCTAGCCTACATTTCATTCAACTAGATAACGTTTCGACAATTTACACTGTCATATCGTGAATGGAAGAATACAATAACACCACTAATGTAACCCCTCAGACTACCCTTACACTTGTAAAAGGATTATTTTCATGTTTTATCTAATGCCATTTTATTTCACGACTTTGATCTTTGGCGTTTGATTTTTTTTGAAATCAAAAGAAATATATTGTATTGAGATTAATAATATAAAAAAGTTCAATAAAGTACAAGAATATAAAATAGTTGTTAATAAGTATCTAACTAAGGTGTATAGCGTTTAAAAGTTCTAACTGTAGCGATGTCTTTCTGTATATTTCTAAAAGTCTGAAACAAAAATATAATTACGAGAAATTAAACAACAGCTAAATAGGGGCGAATCTAGAAAAGACGTTTCATGACGTCACTAACGGCAAAGGACGTGATAAAGCATATTTGGCGATTAGCGAAGTCACAAACACATCAGTTTTAGTGGAATTACAGGAACCAAAGACATCTGATTGAAAATTGGAATGGTACCAATTGATGCTATCAGTGTGTCCGATACACATGAAGAATTTAGAAAACATCTTTACAATTTCTTTAAGAGCTAAACAAAGTGTCTCCAGTATTTTTGTTTGGGTAATCTGAAACTATACTTACACAGATAAGCGTATCATCGCCTTCAATATGTCGAGCCATATGAGAGTCACATTCTCCAGATTTAATACCTTTCTGTATCTGTATCAACTTATTGTCTTCAAATGTAAACGTCGACTGAAATGTAAATCATACCATATATTTAGACAAGACAGGTGTAGCTGTGGATAGAAGTGATTCTTTTAAATGCATTTAGAATGGGGTTGGCATAAAACCCAAACCTGCTAACCGGAAGTAAAATATTGCGCGAAAATAAGCATTGCTCATATTATGGATTATAGATTTTTATACAACGGATCAAATTATTGATTATTGAATGTTCCGAATAATGGATTGTCACTTGATTCTACCAACCGACCAATTCCATTACTGCAACTAAAGACCATATACTATTACCTCTCCGGATATACTACTTGTCCCTCCAACGCTACGGGCTTGGTAGCATATAATCAGCTTTACGGAAACTACCGAGAATTGCCGAATGACCCCTACCTTACATTTCCTCCCGTCCATGGTAGTCTCATCTATTTCCTCTCCCAGTTTAAATTTTAAAGTCTGATTTTTAAACGTTGATGTGATATATATTTCCCAGTTGTCGCCGTCAACTCGAATTTCTTCATAATTAGTGATCGAGTTTCCAACTTTTCTCAGAATTACATTTACACCTTTAAAAGAAATAAATATACAAAATAAATCATTTTAGCAAGGAAAGGGACTGCAAGTCAACAAACGTAAATACCAAAATAGGCATAAAGGGATGTAACTCTTATATTGCCGCTCCTACGGGTAAACCGACAACCCCTCCAAACCTCCATTTTACGGTGATCCGTCGGCCTGTCGGTTTTGAGGGGTTTCACTGTATAAGCTACGTAGACTCTCTGGGGGGAATGCCAAGTTAATAAGCCTATAATTGTATAATATATACCAAATAACCGTTATCAGCGTCAGTGAAACTCTCCGAAAGGAATATTGAGTTGATAAGCCCAGAGTCACGAAAGGTGCTCCAGAAGCATGAACATTGTTTACATTTGTATCTGAATATCTGAAGAAAAAAACTTCTATATTACTGATAGAATTTTACAAAGTTTTCATCTCTTACCCATGGATTTCATATATTCGTCGAAATTGTCACTCTTCTCTAACTTCCAATGGCCAACAAACTTTTCTGCCATTTTGATCTGGTGCTGGAATCACTTGAAGTATTTCTAAATGCGAAAATATCAGATTATTATGTATTAGCATTGTCATTTTCCACAACCCAATGCCATTAAAAATCTGATAAAGAATTATTTTCATTTGCTATGAACGTTATATACAACGTTATTTCCCTTTGCTATGAACGTTATATACAACGTTATTTCCCTTTGCTATGAACGTTATATACAACGTTATTTCCCTTTGCTATGTGCATTACTTATGACGTTATTTTCCCTGCTATGAACGTTATATTATGACGTTATTTTCCTTTGCTATGAACGTTATATATGACGTTACGTTCCTTTGCTATGAACGTTATATTATGACGTTATTTCCCTTTGCTATGTGCATTACTTATGACGTTATTTTCCCTGCTATGAACGTTATATACAACGTTATTTCCCTTTGCTATGTGCATTACTTATGACGTTATTTTCCCTGCTATGAACGTTATATACAACGTTATTTCCCTTTGCTATGTGCATTACTTATGACGTTATTTTCCTTTGCTATGAACGTTATATACAACGTTATTTCCCTTTGCTATGAACGTTATATACAACGTTATTTCCCTTTGCTATGTGCATTACTTATGACGTTATTTTCCCTGCTATGAACGTTATATATTATGGCTTAATTCTTTTGCGATGAACGTTATATTATGACGTTATTTTCCTTTGCTATGAACGTTATATATGACGTTACTTTCCTTTGCTATGAACATTATATTATGACGTTATTACAATTTGCTATGAACGTTATATATGACGTTAATTTTGGTTTGTGAACGTTGTATTGTATGACGTTACTTCCTGAAAATTATGAATGGCGTTATTTTCTTTTGCTATGAACTTTATGTATAACGTTATTTCCTTTTGCTGCGAACGTTATTTGTGTGGTTTCCCCTTGCTATTGTCGGGTCTTAGTTTCATATAGTCTTAAGATCTTTGTTTTAATTTCATTGACCTTGTTTCCTATTATTTCCTTTTTGAATATGGTTGATATTTCAATTTTTTTTTTTGAGGCTTTGAATGACCTTTGTAAGAGAATAAACAATTAAAATAAAGTATATAAAAAGTATTTATTAACAATAACGATGGTATAATGATATACTACTGTATCAAAATGAGTTTAAAATGGTGTTTGATATCACATTATGATCATGGTGTATATCTCTTATAAACCCGTACAGCCACTATATTCTTCTGTACGTTATGGAACGTCTGAAATATATGGATATCAATTATTAATGAAACGTTATTGAGTTTTGCGTACGACGTACTGAAGGAACATGTAGGGTTGGTGGTTATTGGGAGTTAAAGCCATAAAGATTATCTTTTCCACAGATATACGTGACGTAATTGAAAGAAATAATCTGTCCTAATTTCTAACCTATTTATGAGATTTTTGCCCGAAAACATGCCTTTGAGACTGCGGAGGGGGACGGCTGCCTCCTCAGCCCCACCCTCACCCCTCTGCTACAAAGACCTCGAACCTAGATGCAGTTTATGCCATTATTGGAGCAATTTCACACCCATGATTCCACAAGGTATACGACCCCCATCCCTCCCTCTTTCTGAGCCAGACTACGCCCTAGGTGAAATGAAAACGATATCAATTTTTAACACCATAAATCACTAGCGGATAACAATACATATTATTTAATATTTCATTGCATTAATTCTATAATCGGGTAATATAGAAACCCATGGCATCTGTTACAATTCAAATGAGTCATTCGCAGATATTTGATATGTAATATGTATAACTTGCATATACATGTATTTTAATTCAACTTTAGACTGTGAATATCAAAGATCCCTCGACAGCTAGAATTGTATAGGCTTGTGCCACTGTCCTTGAAAAATTGTCCCTCCTTGCACACTGCATGGCATTGTCAGTCTTCGTTGGCTCAATCAGGAGCAGAAAAGTAGGACGTAAAACTCCATTCATTTGACTTTTTTAAAAAGTTTAGTTGATGATTTACCTGTATCATTGTGTCGTCACCCTCTAGCTTTCTCTCTACATGTGTATCAGGTTCACCAGGTTTAGTCGCTTTCTGGTCCAATATTAACTTATCACCTTCCAATCGAAATGTCGCCTGTAAGAATTAAACAATTAGGATTTTAGCATTACATAACAAGAAAGACCATTCTGATTGAAACCATGGATGATAATATATATGATACTATCAAACTGTGGAAAATTGTTGTCTGCACAATGGCTGTTTTCAGTGGTCAGAATCTTTCCAAAGGTAACTCTACTGACTGGCGTTTTTTCCCCAATTACTCTTAGCTGTTTTCTTCCAATTTTACATATTGGATTCTCAACTGCCAGCCACCAAATTCCTGATGAGTGTAGCAACTTGTAGTAGCAAACATGGTCTCACAATCAATGGTAACTGTTGATACATGCATCAACAACTAACTACTTTCTTTACTGCTAGCGACTGAATGTTCCACTGTTATGTACCAAATACCCCACGAGAGTTAGTATTTGACATGGTCCCAGAATTGATCTAAATCCAGTTATGACAGTCATTCACATCCTTAAGGCAAAGACAAGAGATGAAAATATCAAAGAAAAGAGAATGTCATACCGTCACTGTTCGTCCATCCATTGTGTGATCTTCAAAAGGTTCGCCGAGTTTAAATTTCACAGATTTATTTTTGAAAGTAGAGGTTACATTGACCTCCCAATCGTCACCGTCGTTTTTTATTTCTTCATAACTTGTGATGGAATTCCCAACTTTTCTTAGAACTATGTTCACACCTGCAATGTTGTTTTAAAAATGTTCATGTTAAAGCAGTAGGTCAAATTGGTAAAGGAAGCTCAAAATTTTGGGAAACAAATTGGTATACAGTACATTTCTGTACCCTATGAATATCTGTGTTTTCTAATGCATTTTAGCATTTTCCAATGTTGGCTTAAGTGCTGTATGCAATGAGGGGAACTTCTCTTCTGATGGATTGAAACCATTAACCTTGTATTATTTAGAATGAAATTACTCCTATCATAGCATTTTCATGTGATAACAAAGGTTCACTAAAGGTGGTCATTGGCTTCCTATCTAGCGACCCCCACCCCTTTAAGCAGTTTTGCAGTTCTTGAACTTGTAACAAGAGCTTAAACAAGAGCTTAAATTTACTAACATGTATAACGACCTCAACGAATATTGAAACATTGAATGAATATTCTGACTTAATCGATTTGACTCTAAATATTGTATTACATTCACCTACTACACAGTGTTACTATACACACATATTTCTATACATTCGTCATGAATGGGGGATTAAATGACTTGAAATAAATAACAATTTTGTAATAGGTTATATACCTGCTAGCTGCCATATTCATGACAATGTTACTATGTAAATTGTTGAACCGTTGTGCACAATCAAACTCATGAAAGATTACTTTACGTTACGTTACTTCAGTTAATGACAATGCAAATTGTAGAAACGTTGTATACAATAAACCCGGTTATGAAATGAAAATGAATGAATGAATGAAATGTTAACTTACCCATTGATTTCATGAAGTCGTCCCAATTTTCATTTTTCTCCAGTTTCCAATTTCCAAGTAATTTACCCATGTTGTTCTTCGGCAAGACCTCGACCTTATTGTACTACAAATTGTTGACTCAGCGAGCAATATTGCCGACACTCTTGTTGTTATGAAAATACGTTGGCAAATGTGGTGATGTGACGTTTTGAATAACAACTGTTCACAACCAATTAAAAAATCGACGTTTTGAGAATATTATTCTTTACAAACGAGCTGCTGTGGTAAAATTGCCTCTGTTCAAAGTTCGAAGTATACGAGGGTCAGAGAAGACTGATGACTGATCGAGTATTAGATATGTTATCTATATATCATAGTTTGATAAGAGCTAATCTAAAATTGTCATGAGTTTGCAACTAAATTATAATTGTTCTAGAGAAAGACGTAACACGGTTGGGTTGATATACCACATTGCCACATCAATAGTTTCTCAAAATTATGTCATGTACACTATGACTTGTCTTGAAGGCGATTGATTGAATTTCAACAGGCAAACAAATCCCACCATCGACTGGAATATCCATAGCAGATCACCTTGGAATAAAGGAATAAAGTCGCCCAACTATTTAATTTACCAATTGTTGGAGCTTAATTTCAGCTACCGGTACTTGCATCACGTTTATTGCGTCAATCAATCCGTCTACAATCGACCAAAAAAAAACGTTTCATTGGAAATATAAAAAGTTTTTGAGACACTTCCGTTGCAGATATTGGCTGTTATACTTCTGTTTATGAATAGCAATTGACTGTTAGAGCAAATAGTTACTGTTTATATTGACTGTGGATAATGGGATAAATTCGGCTAACCATTTCTAGTTATAACTATTGTAGTAATCCCGCTGTTTAAATTAGTTAACATGTTTCTGATATATCTTTTCCTTATAACTCTATTGTCTATTTAATAAGTAAGACACACTGGTATATAACAGTTATATTATCGCGGGCGTAGGCTTAATTATTGTGGTGGGTGTCGCTTGTCTCGGGGGCAATCCTGTCCACCACCAGAGTCATCGGCCTCATATGTTTTATTGTAATTTTTCGCACCAGAATCGTAAAATAATTCTGCACGTTTGACAGTTTGTGCATTAGAGTCAGGGTATTTCTGTTTTATACGGGCATGTTCCTGTTTGTAGTGTATTTGTATCAACAGAAAAGGTCCTGCTAATTAGAGAGAAAAGTGTCTTTGCAACTACTGTCCATCATGTGTTCTTGCATGAGAAAAATATTTGGATTTTCTGCTTATGGCTGACGTGTGTATCAGAGTGTTGTTCTGTTCAACAACAGCATGTTTCGGTGATCGGACTGAAGTTATTAACTTTGGTGTGTTTGTCTCAATGGAAGATACTCAGAAACAGTAGGAAACATTGTGTTCTTGTATTAGAAAATATCAGGATTTTCTGATAATGGCCGACGTGTGAACTCCAGTGCTGTTCTGTTTAACAACAGCATGTTTTTAGCTAGACTGTAGTATATTGTATCATGAATTTGCCATGTTCTCTCTTTAGAAAGCATCATTTACTGCTTATGGCCGACGCGTGCATCAGAGCAGTGTTCTCTTTATCAACAGCATGTTTCTATAACCAGACTGTTATAGTAAGAGCTGTAGTATATTTGCGTTGCCATGGACTCTCTGATAAGATACATGTTGTGTGTCAAAGGTCAAGATAAACTTGCTGTAAATTTGTCAACTAAAAATATATTGTCGAGTTGAAGAAAAGGTAAAAAAGTTAAACGGGAGTAGAAAAAGTCATATGATATATCATTTCAAGTAGACGAGGTATATCGAGAATATTTTTCTGAAATCGGAAGCTACTGTCTTCGCATACCGAGCTTGGTGCAGTGCGTAGCGAGGATTTCATTGACGGGGGGCACCCAAGCGCCCGGTTTACCTGTTTGGGTCTTAGAGGCACTAGTCTTAAAGGGGGTGGGGGGGGACTCCTTTTTGAAAAATGTTTGGAAGTGATATTAGAATAATAGATTTTTCTTCATGGCCCGAGAGTGAAGGGAAGGGGGGGTAAATACTCTACTGATTTTGTGTAAGTTGGAATATCAGATTCAAAACAGGGCTGATAGTCTTAGAATGACGTTCATTGATACAGTTTTGTAAGAATGGATTTTATATAAACAAATTTCTGGTTTTCTAAATTTTGTAATTTGAGAGACACAAGTGGTGAATCAATGACACTATGGTTTGTCGAAACGTTGTAGGGTTGTTTTCGATAAAGGTCAATCAAATCGAAACGTCGTATGACAAGTATTATTCTTGTTAACCCACCCACCCGAACAAACTATTAAATACATTACCTTACGACTAAATCCGTTCTAAATGATGAATTGTAAAATTTTTATCGTAAATTTTTTATCAGTGAGGCAATACATCATGTTATCGAGGGGCCAGTCAGAGTTCAATATTAGACTATATAATATGACCGGACCCAGGGATTGGGTTTATTACAATAAGACAGGAAAGACTCTTGACCGAGGTCCGGTTTCTCATTCCCTCTGTCACATAATGACTCTCTTCTCAAGGTTACCAAAATGAAGCAAGACGTATCTGGTCTAAATATTTTGTCCGGCTAACCAAGAAGTAAAACACAAAAAACAAAATTGTAGATCGAAAGAATTCGTTACTCCGAATCATTGGGTTGGTGGAGGAGTACAGACCACGGGCAATCAGCGCAATAACTCAATGATGCGATATTTGAAACTAAAAGAAAACAAAGCCGGTCTAGCCCCCACCCCCCACCCCCCTCGCCCCTTTCAGACAACCCCCCCCCCCCCCTCCCAAGAATAACCCCTGTCTACGGTTCTATTATAAGATAGTAATATTTATTGCGAAATAGATTAGCGTGTCATAAACCATCAAATAAATAACTTAAATCAACGACTTAAACCTTCTAGTTCTATAAATAATATATACCACTTACAGCCGCCATTTTCTTTTAGTGACGTCTGCTCAGCCTGACATTTAGGGGGGGAAATTCCCTTTTCAAAATTACCAGCCTAGTTCTGATGCCAAAACTTCAACAGACCCACAAAATTTGCAATTGTTTTACTTTATAACCAATTGAAAAGAAAATTGCCATTTGACAAATTGTCGTGAAATAATTACTTTGTTTACTTTTCATAACTCATTTTAACCGCCACCATTGTTGTTGCACTGTTACCTTGGTGTCGCGTTATTACAAACTTTTTAAACCAGGCTTAAATTAAAAATTGAAGACGAGACTGTACGTGATTAGTTTTAGGACATGAAATGGCGTGTCCCTGGTTGATTGTAATGTATTTAAATCTAGAAGTTAACATGAAACACTTCCATAAAATGCGCGTTCATGTTTCCAAATATAGAATTTACCAGTAATGAAAATTTAAAAATAAATTTCCCACACGACACTAGTAGTTCCCATGGTAGTTCAATACCTTTTTAAAAACTTTCTGACAGAATTAACCAAGAACTTGAAACATTTTGTTAAGTAACTTTGATGTCTTTGATGAAATATTTAGGTTATAACTTAAAGGTGGTACTATCGAGAACAAGGTGGATTGTCATCGGTATGCAGATGCAGATTCGGGATGCACGAAAAGCTTCGTTGTATCTTGAGGAAGTATGACGCATTGGGCATTGAAAAACTTCTGGTGCCAAAAATCAGTGGCTCTATCATTGTATTTCTATTTTGGCAGACAAATTTCCAAAATATTTTACTGGGCAGTCATGGGCGTATGTTTGGCTGGGTGAAATGTTAAAGTTCAATATTGCCTTTTTTGACCTCCCACATGCTGAATGCTGAAAACCACACTGAACCCTCAAATCCAGCCCTCCCATATCTTATTCTGCGGACCTTAACTCAACCACATTTCTATAAGACTACTTTTAGTTTCATTTTCCCTTTTTGATAGCATAAAAGGGTAATCTTCAGACACTGCCTATCACCTACCCCTGACTTTTCGTTCAGTTAAGTAAACCTGCCACTATGATAGATCTAAAGACTAATAAAGAGTTTATAAAGAGAGGAAATCGATAAGAGAGTAAGATATATTGACACTACTAGTTTTTATTTACTTCTATAGATCACGATCATTAGCAACACTTATTGTAATCTGTGTTTGTCTCTTCAGTTTGGATTAGCATATCTTCTTGGGAATGTGTGTTTTTACACGTGCTTGGTCCGGAATATCGGTCGTTAATTGATGGGTGGCCGTCCCTACAAGTTTGATTATACAAGACATTGAAACACAACGTTTTAAGGATTCATAAAACTTTTAATGGCTGTATTTTTCCGAGATCTCATTTTCAAAAAATGGAGACTATGGAAATCAAAATTACGGATTATTTCAAAGTGCAGCCTACAAAACTTTATATGAATGACAGACCGGTAAGAAATATCTCTGAAATATGAAAAGAAGAGGGGGGACACGTTTGTCGAGTCTTTAGGCAATGTTTGTGACACTTGAAAGGATAGAGTTGTTAAATATTCCTCCATTGTCTGCAATGTCGAAGTTGTACATTGTAAGACGTAACCCGTATCAAAAAGCTAAACACATTTCGTTCTTGATACTAAGGTATACGATTGGTCAGATGGTGAAACTGTCCCTTTAATGCTCCATATCTTTGTATTTTTCAGAAGATGTATCCAGCAGCCCCTCCGAAAACAGGTGACCCTTTAACTCAGGAATATCATTCCGAACTGACGGAAAGTTTAAAAGCATTTCAAAATAAACCATGGAAACCTCTTCCAGTTCAGAAACAGGCGGTGCCAGTTATCATCACATGTCCAGCTCCTAAAAAGGCCAAAAGGTATGTTGATCTTTGTCTTTAGTCTTTCTCTTTCATCGCCATGGGATTTTTTGATCGTATTATCCGTTTTCTGGGCTGATATAGTTACATCCATGTCTTTTTCTAAAATATAATTACTTACAAACATTCCGGTAGAAGTTTTGTCTTGTTTTAGTATAATAAAATGAAATTGTTTGTCTTTTTAGACAAATTATTATGTCGAGAAATCGACTGGTAGTTCCAGCATGGGAACCACCATCCAGACCTCGTTCTGTTCTCTCCGACAACGCACGTCCAATGAGTTCCTCCTCCCGTCCGGAAACACCACACGTCCAACCAGGAAACTTCGACACCCTTGATTCGGAGACTTTAGCTAGGCTGATTGGCCTCGAAAGACCGACTAGTGTGTACGGAGAAAGATGCGATCTTTCGGAATATCTGGATAAAATTCCCAATGACGACGATGACAGTAGCATCGGCAGTGATTGGTCACTTCTGGAAGACTGGGAGGAACCGGAAGTGCATCAGTACCAAGCTTGTTCGATGGCGGATTTCAATATGCGACCAGAGCAGTTAGATTTGATAGACATTCCCGTGGACAGAAAGGAACGAAAGTTGTATGATTTTGATGCGAACAACCGCGACGTTCCCCATCCACACGATTATAAAGATATTCTGCCAAAAGGCGCGCGATATTTGGATTTTTCTGTCGTTGCTAAGCAAGGTTTAGAATGGCGCAATTTGACAGAAATGCCTCAATCGCAGACGATTGTAAGAATGTATGATCGTTTGGTTCATCTGGAAAAACTTCAAAACGAGACAATTCAAAGGGAAGAAAAGAAAAACCGGCCAGTCAGCAGACGACAAACTTTGGTGCGCTCCCTTAGTGCTAAATCACGTGACAAACAATGCTGCAGCTCCTGTTTGCAAGTCGCCTGCGTCGGAGATTGTCCTGAAAAATCCTACGCAAAATGTTCAATGTGTAATAAAGTGCTGTGTCCTGGTTTGTGTTCTACGTCATACGACACGCACATGCGTTCAAACGTCACCACAGACGACTTGCCATCACAGCAGAATTCACCCCCGAAAACCAGGATATGTCTCTCCTGTACTAAAAAGAACACAGCAAAGTTAATCAACGCAAATAATAAGTTGTTGGGTCGGCCTAAATCAAGCAATGCGACTTTCAGTAGGGGACGTAACTCAGTCAAACCTAAAGATATTCGACCGAAATCAGCCGTAGACTATACGACGGAAACGTTTCAGCAATTTGACAATCTTGGTCTGGATTCACCCAGTCGACCCTCCACTGCTGTGTCCGTCTCCAGCAGACCCCGGAGTCGCAATGGATTACTTCCGGGTAAAACATTCTCGTCCAATAGGAAAGCGTCTATCAGTGATGCTAAATATAAAAGTGCTTGTCGGGTAAGAAATAGGTCACCGCGACCTAGATTGAACATCAGTCAGTCCATTTCTTGATGACGTATTTCTTAGATTCATTTATATATTTCTCAGTGTTTGTGTTTCTCTTGTGATGTGATGTGTTTACGCGTGCATTTCTGTAAATTAGGTCAGAGATATGTGTGATCACTCAGGATTAATTGTGACTTTATCAAACGGTCTACCGAGAAAGTTACCCTAGCGGTCTGCTTTATGGAAAAACCGAGGATTCCGGAATGAGCGCTAGCTTTACGAAACTGTCGAATATCTATCTATTGGCCTCGGCTGTCTTCGTGAGCTTCGGCTGTGAAAAGACAACATGGAGTTTAAGACTCGTTATCGTTACTTAAACGAAAGAAAGTCATGATGTAAAATGGTATAATTTTAATATTTTGATAAAAATTCTGCATGAAATTAGAATTATTAAAATTTCAAAATATATAAAAGCTAGTAACAATTAGATTTTCAATTAGTTATATGAAAATAAATGAAGCTTGTAATTTTCAAAATTATTTTTTTTAGAGATAAACACCATTTTAAACACTTAGAGATAATCAAATAAAGCCCGGTTATGCCCTCAGCCGGCATCACATACTGGGGAGAAACCTTTACTTTAACATGTAAATAATCTAAACAATTTAGGGCTCCGATGAGGAGCATTTTAGCGATATATATATGATAGATATATATATATGATATGCCCACTACTCACAGTCTGATGGAAATGCCCGGGGACAGATTTACTGTACGGTTATACCTTGTTCTCAAAATCAGGAATTATTCAGCGAAGCCAATCAGTAATGGTGTTCAAAGCTTTCAAATCCATGTGTGTCCAGAGTTATCAGAGTTTCAATGTTATTTGTCCTCTTGTAGCTACGGTGAGGAGTACACAAAATATTTAAAAGAATTTTTAATCCTTTGCATTTTTTACAGTATACACCTTTACATACATATATTTACATAGAAATACAATTTATATTCTTTGATTGAATTTTAATGTGATGACATGACATGATTGAAACAAGATGGACATGTTATATACTAGATAATCGCAATAAATCGTATAGTTGAACGACTATCGTTCAGTGTATCGGATCACCACTTTAGGAATCGTTGCAGCCCTAATGCTAGTGCTGAAATATACAGCAGTATAAAATCATTGACAGTTTGAAGAAAAAGTGCTACAATTAATCTATTAACCGATACGTCTCATATCCCTTTTATCAATATACAATATAATGTATCGAGATAAAACCAAGCACTATTATATACATTGGCAAATTAATTTTACAACAAAATCTAGATTTTCATTTACCTCGGCCCAAAAATACATTGGACTGAGGGAACTTAGCCGATCAACAGCTGAATGAGAATTGTAAAAAATATTTTCATGTTTCTATAGCAACTATTATCATCTTGGTTTTGGTGGTTCCATGCAGTTTCCGTCTGGATAACGTTCCTTAAACAATTTGACTACATCTGGATCTTTGAGTCTCACACCGTCCACTTGATTACCCAGAGTGATCCTGAAATAAACATTTAAATTATAATTACAATACAGCGATTTCAAAATTCCAAAAACTAACTTCTTGAAGACATCACAAGATAAATGCTAGCGTTGGTTTAATTTTCTAAAAGACAGATTTCAGCAAGGCACATCTAAAGAACTTAGAAAGTCTCACCAGTTGGGCTGAACATTGTGTGGTCGTCCGAATAACTCAACTTTCCGTGTTCCAGGTGACAAGCGTTCTATTATACCATAGATTTCATCTGGTTTATGACTCGTAGCTCGAACCTAAATATACAAATATACATCAAGAATTATTTTCACATGATGACTAAGTTACAAGTACAAAATAGTTATCACCACCCTTCTGGAACACCTTATGTAACTCTTTTACTAGGTTTGTCAACTCAGAATCCCTCAGAGAGTTTACATAGCTATTTATAGCTAGTTATTTTTTTATTTTTTACTTGATACACAAAGCAAAAGTCTCTTAATTCAAAACAAACAAAGAATGTAAATACCAATGTAGGATTCAACGGAAGTAGGTTAGCTTGCAGTTCCAATTGAACTAAAGAGAAGATAACACTTACCTCAGCCACCAGTATATCACAATCTAATCCTTTATTGGCCCCTTTAGGATTCCCTTTTACGCCAACCTGTAGGCAAAAAATATAAAACTATATAAGACAACTTCTTTTACCACAGACCCTCCATTTGCTGAATAGTGTTAAGACTTACAGTGTTTGAGCAAAGTTACTAGATTCTAACTGATAAGTGGCCATCCATGCTTCTGATATGAGTTCCAGTCTTGCAGACATTATCCTCATTGGGATAGCTAGATTGGAAATAGATTAAACTTATTGATATATGCCTCGTGGAATATGATAAAAGTAATAGAAAGAAGCAAGAAGCCAGAAGTAGAATATTCTACAATAGACTTACCAGACAATGTTCTTTACCATGATTTAACCAATGTCCTGTTCTACCAGTACGAATAATTCTCTGTAGCTGATTAGTTTTTACCCAAATTAATTCATCAATTCTTTTATACCTACAATAAAGAGAATCATGATTTTAGATTTAAACCTGTATTTATCATGAAATTGTTTTGAAAATCTGAGACTTTGTTCAATGGTTATTTTCCATTTTGACTTGTGTTCAGTGGTAACAAGTACTTGTTGTGAGACATATTCTTCAGAAAATTAAAGATGATAAAATATTTGGAAATATCTTACCCCCATAATTCTAAACATTCTCTTCCTAATTCCATAGCTCTATAAAAAATATAAAATAGGCCTATATAAAAATTGAAACAAACCAAATATAATTTATAATTATAACCAATATCAAAAATTGTGAAACAAGCGAATATTGTGCACTTATTTAAAAGTAGTTGAGTGAATTTTTATCCTTATGATTCTTACATTTTGAATTATTTCTATTTTTAATTCTAATGACAAAGACTCTACCTTCCAGTGACCCAAAGAAAAATAAATCCTTCATCTTGTAAGCCTGGAACATCTAGTCGTCTCATCTCATCATCACTCATAGTACCATAGGGTAACTCCATATGAATATCCCAGGGTGGGTCGGCCATTACTATAGCACATTTACCAATCGTAGTCATATCAAATATTCTTAAATCACACTGGATCCACTGAAACAAAATAACAAAATATTGGGGGTTTTTCAAGGTATATACCCTATCAGAAATAGTTACATCCCATGAATAGGGTTCATATGGTTTATGGCCAAAACAGTGGAAAGCGTGCATAATGTAATAATGTCTGAGCTATATTTTCTAGAATATTCTCAAAAAATTGTTCATCACAATTTGGCTTGTATCTTCAAAGCTATGTATTTTTAAAGTTGCCCAAGTATGCATCAAAAAGGCCTCATTGTCACGAAGTTTGGGCCAGGCAAATCTTTAAAAAAGATCCTGGTAATTCAACTTATCCTTCGGATATTTTGGATGTTTTTTTTGGATGTTTTTTGACTGTCAAGAAACATACCTGTGGTGGAAACATATAAACATCACTATCTACATCTGGTACTTTATATTTCACAATATCTTTTACTGGTTCAGGTTTTTTATCAGGGTAGTCTATTTCATAGTGCACATACTGAAAAATAGATAAATAAACATAGCATTGGTAGATTTACAACCTTCATTTCTGATCCTTATTTGACAGGTGAAATGAAGAAAATTTAGGAAAATATTACAATGTATAAGAATGATGAGCCAATGCAACAGTGATAAAGTTTTGCTTTATTAAATTTTGTGTATTACTCAGGAAGATCTGGCTTATTATGATTTGTTATTTAGGAAGTACTCACCTTACAAGACTCCATGTGAAAACAGGTATTAAGGAAAGAACAATCTCCTAATGATTCTGAAAAAAAAATTCAAACTTAAAAAATGTACAGAGCTTGACCTTTGAACTTCCATATCCATATCATTTTAAACTTTCTAAGAGACTCACCATCTGTATGTTTATGTATAATTTTTCTAAAATGTAATTTACTACAGGGTTCTGTCGTGTTGTTCATTTTACGACATTCTTCTCGTGTTCCGACTTGACAAAATTCTTTCAACTGAACCCCTAGAAAATAGAGAAATAGATTAAAATCAGAGAGAGAATAAACAAACATACAGATATATCAAAACTGAAATTTGAAAGGACAAATTACACACTGATTAAGGTGAAATTTGGCTAATAGACACCCTGGATAATTCAAATTGGTAAAAAATCCAAGAGGCATACATGAAATGAGTCCAATATGTATCCTAGATCATTCAAAATTTTAATGGACTGAGCCTTTGCGGAGAGCTGTCGAACTGAAAACAGAATGGAAACTAAAAGATCATATCGTACCTCCTCTAGATTTAAACCTCTCTACTAAATATTGTTCTTTAGCTGTTGGTTTACTCAGAATCTGGAGAATCTCCTCGTTCACTTTCTTATTTTCTTTTTCTTTAGCTGACTGGGAGGTTAATAAACTCTGAAATGAAACGTTCATATTTAAATTTCGAAAGACCCCTAGAAAATTGTAGAAATTAAGATATAAGCGTTCTTATTTGACAATCCCTAAAACTGTATTTCTTAAAATCTAGGTTTCATTTTATCTAAATTTTCAAGGTTTAGGCCTAAGGTTTTTAAAAATAAATTTTTATACCTCTAAGATATCAGCTGATTTTTTTGATTGTTTTGAATTTTTATCATCTTTCCTTTTGTCTTCTTCATCTCTGAAATACGGAAAAAAATACAAATTGTACAAAAAAAAACAAGAATTCCTTAAGAATTACTACATAAAACTGGGATGAATATTTGAAATCAGGTATGGTTTATATTTCAACAGCCCTAAAGCAGCTCCTTACCCATCTTCTCTTTTCCTCTTCCGACCTTTATCATCACTGGTTAAAGCTGATAGCTGGAAATACAAGAAAAAAATCTTTGTTATTATTGTGTAGGAAGCTGAGATTGTCAAGAAGGGCTCACTGCCAGTTCTTTATCTATGTTATATGATAAAAAATTTGAAAGTGAGGGGATTGGGGGAGGGGATTGGGGGAGAGCAAGGCTGGGCCAGCCTTAATTCTTGGCATGAAAACACCTCACCGTAAGACTTGATACCGTTCATGACATAAAGAAAAAAAAAAATGGTAACTCTTACCTTAGACAGGTCTAGACTGTTGACTATCAGATTATCATTTTTAATTATGCTGAAATTATAACAAATCAAGAAAATCACAAAAACACAAAAATATAAGAATACACCAACAAAATAAAAACTGTGATTTTTAACTCATTATTTCATTTGACATAACTTTAAGGAACAACTGGTACCAGTAAACAGGATCCTTGTGAGCTTTAGTTGTGATCAGTTTAAAATGTTTCTTTCTAGATTGTTTGTGTGCTTCTTTACATATTCAAAGACTCAAACCTGATAAGCTGTTGAGCTGCAAATTTCTCGAGTAATTCGTCCACGACAGTTTGATTGACAGCTCTCTCTAAACTCTTTGTTAAAAAATCTTTAATAACTGTAGATTCAGCTGGTATTTCTAGATTAATGTCAGTTAAAACATAGGGCAGTTTCTTTTCAATCTCTGGATCTACGACTTCTTTCTTTGGTGGTGCCAGAGATTCCAATGACGTACTTTCCGAAGTGCTGATATTCTCGGATGAACTTTTAATTGAAGGAAGACTGACACTTGAATCTATAAGCAAAATAAACAGATAAGATAAGATGAAGCGAAATACTTGATAAAAGATTGCCATTATACAAATGCGTATCATCCTTGAACTGTAGGATGCAATTGTCCCCCTTCCCTTTTTCCAGCTCCACCTCAGTTGATTCCTTCATATACAATTTCTCCCCTAGTTTTTTCTTCTTGATAAAATAATGTATAATCTGTTTGAAGTCAAAGAAAGAACTGGACTATCTATTATTACAGAACTAACTCTTAGGACATACTAGCTAATGAACCGAGTCTTTCTGATCACTGCTGTCAAAATCCGTCTTTCATTATTTGAAGCAGTTATATTCCGACGTACTGACAAAGCAAAACAATGCCGAGTTACCTGATGTAGAAACAGTTGACGAGGAGGTAGAAACCCCCAAATTCAGTTCCTTGGCCAACCCCTCTCTTTCTTTCTTTCTCTGGGCTAACTTGGCTCTTAAACTGCTCTGTTTGGTCTTCACCGCTTGGATGTCACTCCATGTATCCGACATAGTCAGATTTTATACACAAATACCTTTACTTTTAGATGAAAATAACAGTATCTTTGTGCTTTATTTATTTACTGATGGAAGCCGCCATTTTGAAGGGAGCTGTCAGTATCAAATGAAGTTTGGATTTGAGATCCGTGTCATGTATACAAGATTTCGTTAAATATATTACGATAAGCACGAAATTATATGAATTTTATATTTATTCCTTCAAAGGATCATCATTATATTATGCTATTTGTAGTCCAGAAGGCATTTTTTTTTCGACAAGACAAAATTCTCCCATTGAGAATAAACAAGAGTAGATAACTCTATTAGTCAATGTCCAGACTACGCCTGATTATCACCGTTATGCAGACGAGAATAAAGATGTCTAAGAGATTGAAGAGTGTTTTGAAAGCATCTGGAAGGTTTAGTCCGTTTGTAGATATGTACATTTCGGAACTGGAAAACGTTGGTAAGTGTATTAGATTTGATTTTGCGACATGTAGACCCAAATTGACAGTAGATTGACGGCGCACTGTCGACATCAGTCTGCTAGGCAATATGATACTGTCGTGCATGTGCGAATTGTACTCAAGAGAGAAAGACAGTATTAAAGATATATTCTTTGACAATGAGGCGGACACCCCTGTCGTAGGGTAGGTGCAGAACGGCAGGGTGTTAAATAAGGCCTACAGAAGATTGAAAAAGTACTAACAATCCGAAATTTATCCTTAGGCGTAATTAACATGGACATCATATAGACCCCACCCCATCCAACCCACAAATAGAGCTCGAGGCGTACAAATACAAATAATTTAATAAGACTAAATTTACAAATTATTGGATATGTTCAAAAGACACCATAGAATTCCAAATCAAATTTTAAAAAACTTAATTTGACTTTACACACAACACAAATATAGGATAACATGAGGTTAATTTAAATTTCATTTTGTCCAGTGTGCAATGAGGGAAATTTTGCCAAAACATCGGAATAAGCCTAGGCTACTGCCATTCAAAAATCTTGGCACCGGCACTGTCACAAAATTAATCGCTAAAAATAAGCGAAAATCATACTGTACGTTCCTCAACGCATGCAACGTCACACCGTTTTAAAATTATTTAACTTCAGTTTCAAAACAAAGTTGCAGGAGGCCTACATATCTTGGTCTTTGCTTTCGGGGTTTTCTCCTATCGGTCATCTCATAAAGCTTATTGCATCTGTAGTGGCTGGAATAAAAAAACATATCAATTTATCCTAAAGTTGAATTTACTTTATGATACATAATGACCGAAAATTGCTTTAATACCGATATCTATTTTGCTCTTGCTCTTCCACGGTCTCATTAAAAATTGCCAAAGAAAAAAATCAATCTCAGATACGAGGCAAACATTACCCTCTAGTCAATAAAAATGTCTTACTTCATGCTCTCCTTTGGTAACCTCGTAAGTTTTGGTCGATTCCCGTCTCCTGATCAGTGACTTGAGGTTGTTCCATACAGGAATAGTTAGATTTGGGTTCAGCTTCTTTTTCTGTCCACCTGAAACATACAAGTTAATAAAATTGAGGTTTTCAAACATAAAGTTAAGGTATAAGACAAGGAAAAAGTCCATGTTTGAAAAAGCACATCAAGAATCACGTCAATACAGATTTAACAAACAAAACACTACAACAGGCAAACGTACGCAGGCAAATACAAACATCACAATGAGTGTCATTTCTATGGTGTTTGGCGGGCAAAAGTGGCAAATATGATGCTGTTCGGCTTTAGCTTCCTCATTTAAAGATTTCTTATTAATTTATACAAGAAAAGCATGTGATACTCAATTGACAATTCTGTCTCCCCTACTAGACCCCACCCAATTATCCATGGGAACTCCTACAGCCAATCAACAGAACAATCAAAAGAGAAGGGATACAGTATCCTACCTGATACATGGCTGGTGATAACAGCTATTATAATACCGACAATAACAGCTAAACTACTATACCACATATACGATATACGGTATACCTCTAACCCAGTATATCTGTAATATAGAAATATATACTTAAAGATACATTGTTGTACAATATGTACAGTATGTGTTATATGACGTATGACGCTGTATGACGTTGACGTTGATGTGGCCTACAATCTTAATTGACTATTAAAAGATTTCTAAATAGCTGTTAGAAAGGTTTATCAACTGGTAAAGCAGATA